AAAAAGATAATAGATAAAAGATAATGGTAAATCAATAAATCTTTCTTAAAGAAGTAAAATGAAGACTAAAATATTAGCGTGTGCTATGAGTACGCTTAACAAGTGTGTCTTATCCAAGACCTAACTGTTGGGAAGCTTTGAAGTAGTTGTTTAGATATTTGAGAGTTTTGAATGATGTAAGTTCAGAGTTTAAGTTTACAATCATGCTTGGTGTTGACCCCATTTTTTGTAAAGATGACGTGAACAAAAGGTAAAGGGCAACTCAACAATATCAAAAGTTGTTGGTCTAGGTAAAGTAGTGCTGAAGATGACATCAGGTAAAGAAGTAACACTCATCGATATTCTGCATGTTCCCGATATTCACAAAAACTTGGTATCTGGAGCTTTGTTAAGCAAGAGCGGGTTTAGACTAGTATTTGAATCTGACAAGTTTGCACTCGCCAAAAATGGCATGTTTGTANGCGATTTAGATCCTAATCACAAATGTGATATATGTATAGAAGCAAAAATGACTCGTTTACCCTTTCGTTCTATTGAAAGAAGTACTGAACCACTAGATTTAATTCACGCTGACATTTGTGATTTAAAGTTTGTGCAAACTAGATGAGGTAAAAAGTATTTTATTACTTTATACGTGATTGCACAAGGTACTATTATGTCTATTTGCTAAAGAGTAAAGACGAGGCCTTAGAAGGATTTAAACAGTACAAGAATGAGATTGAAAATCAACAAAACAAATGAATAAAAATTGTTCGCAGTGACAGAGGTGGAGAATATGGATCACCATTTGAAGAATTTTATTTAGATTCTGGAATTAGATATCAAACTACAGCTCTTTATTCACCTCGTTCGAATGGTATTGCGGAACGCAAAAATCGTACTCTGAAAGAAATGATGAACGCTACGTTGATTAGTTCTAATTTACCTCAAAATTTGTGGGGGGAAGCAATTCTTTCAGCTAACCACATTCTAAATAAATTACCACACAAAAGTAGGTACGAAACTCCTTATGAGTTATGAAATGTCATAAACTTTCGTACAAATACTTAAAAATGTGGGGGTGTTTGGCTCAAGTAGAAATACAAAAGTCTAAACAAGTTAAAATAGGGCATAAAACCATCGATTGCATATTCATTGGATATGCTAATAACAGTAGTGCTTACCGATTCCTCATACATAAGTCGGACATTCAGGATGTACATGAAAATACAATCATTGAATCTAGAAATGCTGTATTTTTTTAGGACAAGTTTCTTTGCAATGATAAGAAAGAGATAAGTTCGCAAAAATGAACTTATGATACTGCAATTGGTAATCATTAAAGTGATGAAAAACCAGGCGAAACAAAAGGACAAAACCATCTACATCTTTTAGTCCAGATTTTTTAACTTATTTGTTAGAAAATGAACATAGGACATTCAATAAAACAATGTCTAGTCCAGAAACTTCATTCTGGAAAGAGGCTATCAATAGTAAAATTGATTCTATTATATAGAATCATACCTGATAATTGGTGGATCTCCCACCCGGTAACAAGTCATTAGGTGGTACTTGGATTTTCAAATAAAATTAAGGACTGATGGGTCAGTTGATAAATATAAGGTCAGGTTGGTAGCTAAAGGATTCAAACAAAAAGAAGACATTGATTTTTTCGATACATACTCACCTGTGACAAGGATAACATCAATTAGAGTATTAATTACAATCGCAACATTGCATAATTTGGAAATCGATTAGATAGACATCAAAACGGCTTTCTTAAATTGTGAGTTAGAAGAAGAAATTTACACGGAACAAACTAAAGGGTTCATTGCTCCTGGATATGAAAAAAAAGTGTGTAGACTCGTTAAGTCGTTAGATTGACTAAAACAAGCGCCAAAACAATGGCAAGCAAAATTTAACAAACTATGTTGTCAAATTTTAAGATTAACGAGTGTGATAAATGTGTTTATATTAAAACCACACCTAATGCATATATAATTGTATGTCTATATGTTGATGATATGCTAATTATGGGTAGTAATTATGATATCATAACAAATACCAAGAAAATGTTGACAAAACATTTTGACATAAAAGATATGGGTATTGCAGATGTAATGTTGGGAATTAAAGTCCTTAAAACATCCGAGGGACTTGTCTTATCTCTATCTCACTATTTTGAAACTGTACTTAACAAGTTTCATATATATATGAAAGTCCTGTTAAAATACCGGTAGACTTAAGTCCACAATTGGCCAAACATAAAAGCAAACTCGTATCTCAATTAGAGTACTCTTAGATAGTAGGCAATCTAATGTATATTACAAATTGCACTCGTCCGGATATTGCATATACAGTAAACAAACTTAGTAGATATATAAGTAACCCAAATAATGATCATTGGAAGGCATTGGTAATGGTTCTTAGATATCTACGATACACCTCAAATATTGGATTGCATTATACTAGATATATAGCTGTATTTGAAGGATACAGTGATGCTAATTGGATATCATATACAAAAGACTCAAAATCCACCAGTGGGTATGTTTTTACGGACGTATCTTAGAAATCCTCTAAACAAACATATATAGCTCGATCCACTATGGAATATGAGTTCATAGCTTTAGATAAAGCTGGAGAGGAAGTAGAATGACTTCGAGATTTTTTTAGAGGATATTCCATGTTAGCCTAAACTTGTGTCTGCAATTAGTATAAATTGTGATAGTCAGTCGGCTATCGGTAGAGTACAAAGTAGTACGTATAATGGTAAATCTCGACATATTCGTCGAAGACATACTACAATTAAACAATTGATCTCAAATTGTGTTATTTCTATAGATTTTGTAAAATCTAGAGAAAATCTCATGGATCCGCTTTTAATAGGAGATCACCTATATAAGTGTGAAGTGTGACCGCTTCATTATAATGTTTTAAATGCTTGAATTCTCTAAAATACTTATGAAATTCAAAAGTTGTTTGGGGCCAAAATGAACACAACAGTGAGAACTCGAAAATGTTAGGGAGGTTATCGTGTTGATACTATTGTATTGGTTTACACCAACAGCTGACAATGAAAGACATCATGTTCACTGATTGGCCAAGTAAATCCGATAGTATTCTACTACGAAAAGTTCAAACCCATAAGGTACGTATTCGGATGCAATAACATTCCGTCTGATCTCTCTATAAGGTCTACATAGTCTTTTGCATTAATTTCCATTCATGTGGGGGATTATTGGAAAAAAATGTATTTGATTAGTTGGTTTGACCAACTTTTGACCAATTATTTTAGTGGGTCCCGTTAGTTGGATAAAATATTTCTTTGGCCAAGTGTTTTTTACTCCATGAGTAAATTAATGTAATGTATTTATTTTCTCAAAACCAATTTAGGGTGAATGAAAAATTAAGGCAAAAAAATGACAATTTGAAGTTGAAATAAATTGGAATAAAAATTGGTAGAAAATTGAAAAAGTGTCTATCCCACATAGAAAAGCTAGAATAATATAAACCACTTTACATTGCTCAAATTTGGGACTTGGCTTTGGGCCCTAAGAGGTACCAATAGTCTTTGAAGGGGAGAGAACTTACATGCTAGTAGGTTGGATCAGAGCCCACACGTACACGCCACCGCCGAAGTCAGTCCGACTGGTCGGCCGACTGCCTCGACTCAGCACCGCACCGCACGAGCACAGATCGTGGACTTGGATTTGGACCATGCTGATATATATTTTTTAGTAAAATAATATTTAGTTTATATTATTTTATTATTATAATAATTCTTTTTCCCCGAATTTTTTGTGTGTGACACGTGGACTCTTCTAGAAGGACAGTTGACGGTTGAGCTGGTCCAAACGGTTTGTGTCTATTGAAGACACAACTTTTCGGATGTTGTGTCTTTTGGACACAACTTTTCAACTTTTATAAATTGGCCCTCATACCCCGATTTTCATTCACTTCAAAATCCAATTCTGATTTTATTCCTTTTCTGATATTATTCATTCGTCCCTACATTATTCATATTTTGCAATCTAGTCTCGAAAAATAATTTTTGTTCATTTAGTCCTCCAACTTTTAGAGGGATCAAAACGTGAGTAAGTTCGCCGAGTCTTGTAATTTGTAGTGCTACTATTATAAGTCGAAGTCGTTGTATCTTGGGAGACAAGTGCCGGAATACCGTCAGCACCAGTGCGAGGCATTGTCGTCTTAAGGAGAAAGAGTCGAACTCTTGCCTCGACTATTAACAATTGATCGCATTTACTTTTTCACGACGTTATTCTGTTCAAGTTAATCCAAGGTGACATTTTTACTTGCCTACTTCCAACAAGATTATTGGCCAAGAGCGTTGTTGTGCGTGTGGTGTACAAGATGTAGGCAAAACTAAGCCATAATCACAGAAGATACATCCTTGCTGTTGAAATGCACTGGTACAAATTGTGGTTGTTTTGATGTTAAAATTCTTATGTGAATATTCGAAAGTGTGGTCAAAAATCTTAAACTAATGCCGCAAAAAGAACGAATGCTGGTTTTATTGCATCTAGGTAGTATTCCAAGATGTTAATTATGGCTCTTGTTGCTTTAATCAAGAATCAAGTAGCCCACAACATAGCGACTTCTCTTCTTCTTGATTATTTTGTCGTGGTTGATGGATTGTGATTTTCATTTTCTTTCGCCTTTTGTTTGTGCTGACTTAAATTAATGAAACTATTCATCAATATTTATCCGTGGGACGTTTCACTAAGTATTAAAAAATTGAAATTGACCCAATATTTTGTTGAACATGTACGTTCGAATCGGAGGCGAATAAAGACACATAATTTATTTTTATTTTTTATCTAACAAACATACAAGCATAATCTATAAAACAAGGGAAGAAACATTATTCGATTCACTAGTGAACATATGCTATAAGGCTATTGTCTTGTGGCTAAGAAACTTCATCTCAAGACTCCGTGGGGCTCTCGAGCTCTTCACAAAAACTCGTAAAAAGATGCAAGATCTACGCATCAATAAACTCCTCACCATCTTAGCGTTGCAGGGAAATACTGCAAAAAAACATATCATTAAAGATCAAACACACACAATCAATTCGTAGGACATGAAATCGGACTTTATTGACATTCAACATGCGACGAGTAAATTTAAAAAATTTTAGCTTTACCTTTTCAATGAGAGAGAGATAATATGGCTTGACCTTTTCAACATCAACTCGAACCTTGCTCTTGCTGTATAAATCATACTTGCTGCACAAAGTGATTAAGAGAACAAAAAATAAAATAAAATGAGGTCTTGAATATTTATTGTAGCCACTAAAGATTTTCGGGTTTTTGAATTCTAAATAATGGCTCTGTATAGGTAATAGACAAGAGTGGTCATACTTGAAAATCTGTACCCACTTCAGATTCTCCTCATCTTCCTCGTTCATCAAATGTTTGTAAGCTCCCGACCGATGCAAAGCTGCAAAAATTTAGTGATTCCATCAACACCAACTTGTCGTCTGATTGTGCTGAATCGCGCGATTGAATTTTTGACACTCGTTATAAATCATGAACACAAACTTGTCGTGCTGTGTACAGTACTTACCATAAAATGAATGGTATCTGATTATAAAAAGGCCGGCTGAAGGTAAGGTCGATTTATTTTCCTTTGCCACCTAGAAAACAGTAATGATATTGTAAAGAACCTCAATTTTGATTTTCATTCTCTGGTTTTAGCAAGATTCATGAGAAGCATTCGCTTCAAGGATTCGAAAATGTACCAAATACATATAGTCATCGTGACCCCAAGACATCATCACATTGTCAAGTCCACAACGTTCCTTATAAACTCCATATTTAGTATTGTGAGCAGGATTCTGGTAATCGGGATTTTCCTTGAAGTACTGCAGTAATAAAGAGAGAGTAAATTTGAGAATTCTGAACAAGTACGATAAAAATTTTAGTGAAACATAGTAGTGTAACATAATTCAAGAATAACTATAATCTCGTGAAATTTTAAGGAGACAAACCTCGTGGTGAACTATTGATTCGTCAAAAGCACATCCAACAGGGTAAGTGTCACCTGCAACACAAAATCACATATTAATCCTCAGAAACTGAAGTGTTCAAGGAACAATATGTTAGGTACTAGTTGCATTCGATTGCGTAGCCAAGGGGGCTAGGGATGGGAACCACCCCCGTAAATTTTCTTAAAATGTGTAGAAATTTTGAAATCTTTTTTTATATAAACAAAATTCATTAACGTTTTGCCCCTTCCAACATATATTCCCATCTGAAAATTTTGG